AATGATTCCATTTAGAGCCAAAACGATGCGACAAAATAATAAAAAAAAGGTGAGAGCGGAACGGAATGGGCCTGCCCTCGGTGGCCGACGGCTAATATTGAAAGCAAATCCTCGACTAAATCCTTAAAGCGGCTGGATTCGAGCACCTGGGAACTGTGTTTGCGCGGCAGGCTGATAATCATTCGTCGGCTTACTGTATACTTTCCGCTCGGTGCCGTCGGTACGCCATTCACGTGAATCAATCGCTCCTAATTAGCCGCCTCGAAGTTTGCCCTTTGCTTTGTCTTTGCTCACAATTTCGCTTGTGTTCATAATTCCTCGCGTTAATGTGCCGTGTAAAATCTGTTATGCGTTTTAGGATTAAACTTTGTTTGTTGCGTAAACTTAGGTTTATAAAAGAAAAAAGTTTTTAAAGCGTTAAATACCAGTTGTAAAAAGTGAAACATTTAATTATATAAATATGCGCTGATCTGCAACTGAATCCAAAATTTTAACTTTATTTATCAGAAAGTTTAAATTAATGAATAATTTTGATATTTCTGCAAGTCATTACAGTATTGTTGAATAAATAAATCGAATAATAAAAAAAGATTCCTCTGAAAAACAACAGAACTCATTATTTTATGGTAATATTTTAAATTAACTTCTTATTCTTGAGTTTTTAAGGTTTAATTGTTGTAACTATTATATAAAAAAAACAAGACAACAGCATTTTTGGAAGACATTATCACTTAATAGATATACGTTCTAAGTTGAACTGAAGCCCTGAAACTAATATATTTCCTATGTGCATTGAATGTGCTCTTAATAAGTGGTCCGGTGAGGCTGTCGCGGTTGCCATGGCAACGCAATCTATCTCCCTCCGCCAGCCGTCGCTCGCCGCTATAAAATAGCTTACGTTAACGTGAAATTTATTTCCATTTCAATTTAATGCACATCTTTCGCTGCAACTTTCCAAAGGCGGGCTTTGTCGTGTCGTGTGCAGAATATTCGTATGAGTATATACTGCAGACCGCTTTTGAATAATGTTGAGGTTTTTATTTATTTTGTTTTCACTATGAAATATGGAAATGCAATTTACGTAATTTAATTTAAAAAAAAAAAACTACCGGTACTACCGAATTGGTTTATGCTTATATGAGATTGTTAAGTGGAATTTAATAGAATTTGAGTTTTATAAATAGTTGCTAGATATTAAAATATATCCTTCTAAGATTCCTCTCATTCAATGATATGTAGTGTAAGTAACTAAGCGTTTTTTTTTTCAAATGTTTTTTTCAGTTATAGACTTCCTATACTAGTATTCTTACCAGTTATACTAGCCTTTTCTAGCACTCTTATGTGTAACAACTTAAGTTGTAAGTTGAACTTAAGAAGTAAGTTGTTAAGTTTACAGATTTTTTAGGAAGTGATGAAAATGAGTTTTTAAAATAATGTCTTGTTTTGTTTAAAAGAGGCTTATGTAAAGACTAGCTTTTACCCGCGACTTCGTCCGCGTGTATTTAAATTAAACAAAAGTGACTATGTGTCCTTCCAGACTATTCTCTACATCCATACCAAATTTCATCGTAATCCGATCAGTTATTTAGGCTACAAACTCTAACAAACAACCATCTAAACTTTCGCATTTATAATATTAGTCAGATTAGTAAGCTTATCTTAAAATAAAGGAAATTTGATGAAATTATGTAAATATAAGTAAATCAAACCACTATATAAGTTTCATTGATATCTTTTATTATGACTAGAGGTTTCTCTTTTTAAATTACAAAACAATCAGTTTCACTTAATTACATTTACAAAATTATTCGTAAACAATCTTCGCATATTTCGTTTGATATGTATAAAATGAAAACCTCGAATTCGTACGTTCACTATAACAACAATTCGAATTTATTTATTTACATTTATTTATTTTATTAATTATTTTATTTTAGGATTCGTTCATTGATGTCATAGGCACACGGAAATGGGTACTCTAAGTAAAACTAAACGATATTTCTATTAATAAAAAGTTTTTTTATAAATTACATTTATTTACAATTTTAACTGAATAAATATTATATAAGTTATGAGATCCTGATTACTTTAATCTCATTTGGAGGTTTTATGTTCCACTTCTACGGGATCTCTTCATTACATTAATTATTAACAATTATTGCTCAATACAGATAATATAAAACTAAATATGGTTGCGATTTCTTACTTTTAATAGTAATCAGTGGAGGCAATAATTTGTATAATTCATTTCTATTTACATTTCATTATAAAACTGTAACCTCTAATACTCGATTCAAGGGAAATTTTATTTCATGTCAATATTAAAATAATGAATATACGAAAATCTATCAGAACAAAAACATACATTCCCAAATCTGTTTTATTATGAACCTTTAAAGTATTTACAACGTTGTATCGTCTAAAAAAATATTGTTCGGTGTTTAATAAAATATTTAATACTTATACTTATGTAAATGAAATAAGACATATTTAAAATGCAGTAAAATTTAAGTAACGCGTTTTGTACACACATAATCCTTGTACGAATTGAAAACACATTAGGACAATTGAGTCAAGTACATAAACAATGTTATAGGAACTTTAAATTTAAAAGTATTAATAAACACATAAACGGTATGTATTACTGTATTTATTTAACATTGGTGGGCATTCACAGAATAACAAATACTTCAGCGTCCAATACGAACGAAATACAAATAAATTATCTAGAAAATTCAATGCATTTATATTTACAACAATTTATGACTTAATTAGATACATACTAAAGCCTAACAGTTCTAAAACTATAGATACAGTTAAGCATGTAAAAATTGCACACATTGCTTTGGTATACGTGACACTTAGAATATTAACACGTAGAAACACAATGCGCGTACAATCTCCTGAACGGATTCACATCGGTCACCATTCAGATTGCTAAGATCCATCGGTCGAACATTGATAGTAAAAGCTAAAATGATTGCCGCCGACCATCCCATGTGTTACTATTCCAAGATGTTATAAATTACGTACATATTTACAATCGCAGGAATAATCTAAGTAATGTCGATCATTCAGTACGCGCGCGCAGTCCGTCAGTCGAACCAGTCCCAGAGGTGACGGTAGAGTCCGGCGG